CAAAATTCTCAGAGGAATTGACAGGGTAGACAAGGATAAACTATTTAACACGGGTGGTGCGCGAAGAAGGGGACACAGGTGGAAACTGAGTACCCAAATGAGCCACAGAGACGTTAAAAAAGAACTTTTTAGTAGTTAACAGGTGGGATGCATTAGGAAGTAATGTGGTGGAGGCTGACTCCATACACTTTCAAGTGTAGATATGATAGAGCCCAATAGGCTCACTGGAACACAGTACACCAGTTGATTGACGGTTGAGAGCACGGGGCCAAAGAGCCACCAGCTCAACCCCTGCAAGCACAACTAGGTGAGTACAGAAAAGCTTCAACAGAGAAGGAAGACAAGCACCTCTGAACTATGGACAAGAATCCCTAACAAGCACTCCCTGATAGTCACTAAGGATGCAGGCTCGTAAAACCATTTAACATCTCAATTAAATCGAACACCAGCATATGTATGTACCGGAGGATAACTCCAGCATGACAAACTTTACAGCCAGATGACACACGCAAACTATCACTGGAAGCGCCACGCTGGACCACAGCACACTGGACCACAGGACACTGGACGCCCCACAGGACCACACTGGACCACAGGACACTGGACCACAGGACGCTGGACCACAGCACACTGGACCACAGGACACTGGACCACACGCTGGACCACAGCACACTGGACCACAGGACACTGGACCACAGCACACTGGACCACAGGACACTGGACCACAGGACACTGGACCACAGGACGCTGGACCACAGCACACTGGACCACAGGACACTGGACCACAGGCACACTGGACCACAGCACACTGGACCACAGGACACTGGACCACAGGACACTGGACCACAGCACACTGGACCACAGGACACTGGACCACAGCACACTGGACCACAGGACACTGGACCACAGCACACTGGACCACAGGACACTGGACCACAGCACACTGGACCACAGCACACTGGACCACAGCACACTGACCACAGACACTGAACCACAGCACACTGGACCACACACACTGGACCACAGCACACTGGACCACAGGACACTGGACCACAGGACACTGGACCACAGGACAGGACACTGGACCACAGCACACTGGACCACAGGACACTGGACCACAGCACACTGGACCACAGGACACTGGACCACAGCACACTGGACCACAGGACACTGGACCACAGCACACTGGACCACAGCACACTGGACCACAGCACACTGGACCACAGCACGCTGGACCACAGGACACTGGACCACAGCACACTGGACCACAGGACACTGGACCACAGCACACTGGACCACAGCACACTGGACCACAGGACACTGGACCACAGGACACTGGACCACAGCACACTGGACCACAGGACACTGGACCCACCACACTGGACCACCACAGCACACTGGACCACAGGACACTGGACCACAGCACACTGGACCACAGCACACTGGACCACAGCACACTGGACCACAGGCACACTGGACCACAGCACACTGGACCACAGCACACTGGACAGCACACTGGACCACACACTGGACCACAGCACACTGGACCACAGCACACTGGACCACAGCACACTGGACCACAGGACACTGGACCACAGCACACTGGACCACAGCACACTGGACCACAGGACACTGGACCACAGCACACTGGACCACAGCACACTGGACCACAGGACACTGGACCACAGGACACTGGACCACAGCACACTGGACCACAGCACACTGGACCACAGGACACTGGACCACAGCACACTGGACCACAGGACACTGGACCACAGGACACTGGACCACAGGACACTGGACCACAGCACACTGGACCACAGGACACTGGACCACAGGACACTGGACCACAGGACACTGGACCACAGGACACTGGACCACAGCACACTGGACCACAGGACACTGGACCACAGGACACTGGACCACAGGACACTGGACCACAGCACACTGGACCACAGCACACTGGACCACAGGACACTGGGACCACAGCACACTGGACCACAGGACACTGGACCACAGCACACTGGACACTGGACCACAGCACACTGGACCACAGCACACTGGACCACAGGGACAGCACACTGGACCACAGCACACTGGACCACAGGACACTGGACAGCACACTGGACCACAGGCCACTGGACCACAGGACACTGGACCACAGGACACTGGACCACAGGACACTGGACCACAGGACACTGGACCACAGGACACTGGACCACAGGACACTGGACACACAGCACACTGGACCACAGGACACTGGACCACAGGACACTGGACCACAGGACACTGGACCACAGCACACTGGACCCACAGGACACTGGACCACAGGACACTGGACCACAGGACACTGGACCACAGCACACTGGACCACAGCACACTGGACCACAGCCACTGGACCACAGGACACTGGACCACAGGACACTGGACCACAGGACACTGGACCACAGCACACTGGACCACAGGACACTGGACCACAGGACACTGGACCACAGGACACTGGACCAGTGAGAAAGAGAACAATCTGACAACCATAAATTAGACTTTAAGGAGAATTGACAGAGTTAACAAAACATCCAAAGATAGAGGGAGAAAGTCCTGGAGTCAAACTGAAACTTGAGACAGAAATGAGTCACGGAAAAGTGTGAAAAACAACACCTCCAGTGTTTGAGTTCTATATATATATATATATATATATATATATGGAATAGATTAGATGAAGTTAGATGAAGGTAATTCAACACACAAGTTCATATGTAAATGTGTTAAACAATAGGAACATTTAAGCTACAAACTGCTTGAAAGGCAGGTCCCTAGAACCAAAGCTTGACCGTGGAAGCACATCTCTGTGAGCAACTCCAGCAGATTACACACACACACTCCTTTCCAAGGGAGGAAGGTACTGGATGTCAAATATCTCTTCTTCTTTCCCAGTTAATACTAAATCCAGTACTGACGGTACATCTCCTTCCCTCATTCTTGTGGCCTGCTTGACGTGTTGATACATGAAGGTCTCCAAGATGAGGTTTATAAATCTGCCTGTCCAAATGTTCTCCGTTCTTGCCTCGTAGGCCTCCCAGTCTATTACTTTCAAGTTGACGTAATCCAGTACCAGCAATCGTGGTTTATCTTTATTTGCTTTTACTATAATCTCTCTCATGACCATTATGAGGTCCTCTCGTTTGTCATCCAGTTCCTCCTTTGTCCCTGTGTTGCTTGCTGGTGGGCTGTAGGCATTTACAATTATCAGTTTATCATCCTGATCCCAGACCTCCAATGCCATTATGTCAACTTCTTGAGGGTTTTTGATTATCTTACTTTCTTACCTTCAGGTGTTCTTTCACCAGCACAGCCACTCCTTCCCCTTACTAATTTTCCTGTCACGTGTCCAAACTGAGTACTGAGCCTCTTTGGAATACCACCTCATTTTAAAATATTTTCTTCACGTTTCGTCTCCGTTAGTGCGACACTATCTGGGACCTTCAGCTGAATTATATCTCTTAGTTCCAGTATTTTTTATCTCATTTGAACTATGTTGGCATATACAATTTTCAGGAATATGTTTCCTTTCCCTTTGTCCTCTACCTCCCCTTCCTCTAATGATCTTGTTGCTTTTTTTTTAGGTACTATTTCACTAGCTTTCCAGTCCCAATCACTTTGTAGAAAAAATCTTCATTTCTATTCCCTTTTTGACGTTTTGCTTCGTAGCGGTTTATTTTCAGCTTTTCTCTGTCTTCCCTTCAGAGGTCTTGTTTTAATGGCCAAAGTTTGCCATCCTCATCACTCTGCAATTTCCTGGCACTTCTAAGCACTTCCGTCATTTGTTTCACGCCATTAAATGTCACCCTTAAGAGGCGGTTCTTGTCTTCCTCATATTTTCCTATCCTAAAATCACCGTCATTTTCACTTGAATTGAGGACCTTCTCCTAAACCTACTATTTTCAAAGGTACAGCCCAGCTCCTGTGCCAGGTAAGTCCACTACGGGCTCACCAGAACTTGGAACTTTTGTTCCGAGTAGCTGATTCTAAAACAATAACAATTACTACTCCTATTTTCTCAATGATTTGCATCTGTTCTGCTGTTCTGTCCACCTTTTCTAACCAACCAAAAGTTATTATGCACTTCTATTTGCAATGTTTTGTACTAATTTACTGTTGGTTACCAGTTTTTCCCCAATTGCTTGTCTAATATACTTCATGTTGGGCATTTCTGGTTTTGACTTCCAAACACACTCCCTTGATCGTGTCTTTCTCTTTTACAACTTGCGTAAATGTTTCTTTTATTTCCTCTTTACATTTTTCCAGATCGTTATTAACCTCCTCTATGTAATTTGCCAATGATGTTTCTCTTAGAATATCCTCGCCTAATTCCATGTTAACCTCTTGGGTTCCTTACATTTGCTTCTTAAGATTTGATTTCTCTCTCTTGTCTCTTAACCTTGTCGGTCAACTTAGTAATTTTCTTACCTTGCTGGAGAATTCTTCCTTTTAAATTGCGAAACTCACTCCTGAGAGCTCCATTTTCTTGTTCTAATTCAATTACTTTTTCCTCATACTTCTTTAGCATGTCTTCAATAATCTCTAACCTGAGAAGAACACCTTCTTTCATTATATATTATAGCGAGAATTTGTTGATGTGATGTCCTCCACCCCGTGGTGGCGGCCATCTTTGTTCTTGACATTCTTTTGTTTTAGAATGTAAACTTTTCCAACACAGAATTTTAACTCACTTTAACGTATTTCTTGTATCTTAGTTACTCTTCAAGGTCCCTTTACCTTTATGCATCCTCAGACACAACTTACAATCCTCAACCTTTTCCCAACATTTAGGCAATTGCATATTGCTGGAGCCTGTTGCAGTGTCTCCTGCCTCCTGGCGTTCTCTCCTGCCTGCATGCGGGTCAGTGTTCAATCCCCGATCTTCCAAGTTGTTGGGTACCATTCCGTTGCCCCCGTCCCATCCCTAATGTTTATCCTAACCCCTTCCAGGAGCTACATAGTCATAATGCCTTGGTGCTTTCTACAGATGGTTCCCTGCTTCCTAGCGTTCTCTTCTGCCTCCAGGTGGTCTCTCCTGCCTCTTGTCGTTCTCTCCTGCCTCTTGTCGTTTTCTGCTTCCTCCTGTCGTTCTCTGCTGCCTCCTGTCGTTCTCTGCTGCCTCCTGTCGTTCTCTGCTGCCTCCTGTCGTTCTCTGCTTCCTCTTGTCGTTCTCTGCTGCCTCCTGCCGTTCTCTGCTGCCTCCTGCCGTTCTCTCCTGCCTCTTGTTGTTCTCTCCTGCCTCTTGTCGTTTTCTGCTGCCTCCTGTCGTTCTCTGCTGCCTCCTGTCGTTCTCTGCTGCCTCCTGTCGTTCTCTGCTGCCTCCTGTCGTTCTCTGCTGCCTCCTGCCGTTCTCTGCTGCCTCCTGCCGTTCTCTCCTGCCTCTTGTCGTTCTCTCCTGCCTCTTGTCGTTTTCTGCTGCCTCCTGTCGTTCTCTGCTGCCTCCTGTCGTTCTCTGCTGCCTCCTGTCGTTCTCTGCTGCCTCCTGTCGTTCTCTGCTGCCTCCTGCCGTTCTCTGCTGCCTCCTGCCGTTCTCTGCTGCCTCCTGTCGTTCTCTCCTGCCTCCTGCCGTTCTCTGCTGCCTCCTGTCGTTCTCTTGCTGCCTCCTGCCGTTCTCTGCTGCCTCCTGCCGTTCTCTTGCTGCCTCCCGTCATTCTCTCCAACCTCCTGCCGTTCTCTGCTGCCTCCTGCCGTTCTCTGCTGCCTCCTGTCGTTCTCTGCTGCCTCCTGCCGTTCTCTTGCTGCCTTCTGCCGTTCTCTTGCTGCCTCCTGTCGTTCTCTGCTGCCTCCTGTCGTTCTCTTGCTGCCTCCTGCCGTTCTCTGCTGCCTCCTGCCGTTCTCTGCTGCCTCCTGTCGTTCTCTGCTGCCTCCTGCCGTTCTCTTGCTGCCTCCTGCCGTTCTCTTGCTGCCTCCTTTCGTTCTCTGCTGCCTCCTGCCGTTCTCTTGCTGCCTCCTGCCGTTCTCTTGCTGCCTCCTGCCGTTCTCTGCTGCCTCCTGTCGTTCTCTGCTGCCTCCTGCCGTTCTCTTGCTGCCTCCTGCCGTTCTCTGCTGCCTCCTGCCGTTCTCTGCTGCCTCCTGTCGTTCTCTGCTGCCTCCTGTCGTTCTCTTGCTGCCTCCTGCCGTTCTCTGCTGCCTCCTGCCGTTCTCTGTGGCCTCCTGCCGTTCTCTTGCTGCCTCCTGCCGTTCTCTCCTGCCTCCTGCCGTTCTCTCCTGCCTCCTGCCGTTCGCTGCTGCCTCCTGCCGTTCTCTGCTGCCTCCTGCCGTTCTCTGCTGCCTCTTGTCGTTCTCTGCTGCCTCCTGTCGTTCTCTTGCTGCCTCCTGCCGTTCTCTGCTGCCTCCTGTCGTTCTCTGCTGCCTCCTGCCGTTCTCTGCTGCCTCCTGCCGTTCTCTGCTGCCTCCTGTCGTTCTCTGCTGCCTCCTGCCGTTCTCTGCTGCCTCCTGCCGTTCTCTGCTGCCTCCTGCCGTTCTCTGCTGCCTCCTGCCGTTCTCTGCTGCCTCCTGCCGTTCTCTGCTGCCTCCTGTCGTTCTCTTGCTGCCTCCTGCCGTTTTGGAATGCAATATCATACATGTGTGTGTACTCACCTAGCACTCACCTAGTTGTGTTTGCGGGGGTTGAGCTTTGGCTCTTTGGTCCCGCCTCTCAACCGTCAATCAACAGGTGTACAGATTCCTGAGCCTATTGGGCTCTTTCATATCTACACTTGAAACTGTATGGAGTGAGCCTTCACCACATCACTTCCTAATGCATTCCATTTGTCAACCACTCTGACACTAAAAAAGTTCTTTCTAATATCTCTGTGGCTCATTTATGCACTCAGTTTCCACCTGTGTCCCCTTGTGCGTGTGCCCTTTGTGTTAAATAGCCTGTCTTTATCTACCCTATCAATTCACTTGAGAATCTTGAATGTGGTGATCATGTCCCCCCTAACTCTTCTGTCTTCCAGCGAAGTGAGGTTTAATTCCCGTAGTCTCTCCTCGTAGCTCATACCTCTCAGCTCGGGTACTAGTCTGGTGGCAAACCTTTAAACCTTTTTCAGTTTAGTCTTATCCTTGATTAGATATGGACTCCATGCTGGGGCTGCATATTCCAGGATTGGCCTGACATATGTGGTATACAAAGTTCTGAATGATTCTTTACACAAGTTTCTGAATGCCGTTCGTATGTTAGCCAGCCTGGCATATGCCGCTGATGTTATCCTCTTGATATGTGCTGCAGGAGACAGGTCTGGCGTGATATCAACCCCCAAGTCTTTTTCTTTCTCTGACTCCTGAAGAATTTCCTCTCCCAGATGATACCTTGTATCTGGCCTCCTGCTCCCTACACCTATCTTCATTACATTGCATTTGGTTGGGTTAAACTCTAACAACCCTTTGTTCGACCATTCCTGCAGCTTGTCTTGGTCTTCTTGAAGCCTCAAGCAGTCCTCTTCTGTTTTAATCCTTCTCATAATTTTAGCATCGTCCGCAAACATTGAGAGAAATGAATCGATACCCTCTGGGAGATCATTTACATATATCAGAAACAAGATAGAACCG